TTAAGAATTTTTGGAATCAGGGCATTAAAGGGAGTGAGACGGAAATATAAGAGGTAGTGGTTAGAAAATAGGATACCTGAAATTGATATTAAGAAGGGGATGTAGTCATAGGTAATAAGGTGTAAGGTAGGCTGATGGGGGAGGATGATGTCTTAGTCAGCTAGGGCTGTGCAATATTGTGATTTATAAGAAATGTATATTGGTTCATTCAGATGACTAAAATATATTTCTCATGTATATTTGGTCTTCATCCATGGTTCCTTGCTCACAGCTCCCCAATTTCCTGAGCTATACGAGCAACGGGAGCATCTTTTGTTATAATATTTGGTCTTTTGTCCTCACTTTTTGAAAACACTTCAGAGCCATAAAGTTGAAACGGGTGTCTTCTTACTCATAACAAGCCCCTTTCCACCACAACTGGGTTTATGTTAATAAGGTGACTTTTGGAAAGCACCTAAGGATGGGAGCTTGTTGCCAGGGGAACCAACCATGAACAGATGGTTGGAATTTTCAGTCCCACCACCCAACCTCTAGGAAGGGGAGAGGGGCTGGAGATTGAATTCAACCACCAGTGGCCAATGATTTAATCAAGCATGCCTATGTAATGAAGCCTCCATAAAAACTCAAAAGGATGGGATTTAGAAACTTCCAGATTGGGGAACCAGAACAATTCCACATGTCACCCTGCTGGGCCCCAAACTCCACGAGGACACAAGCTCCTTTGCTCAGGACCTCGCCCTGTGTATCTCTTCCTCTGGCTATTGATCCATATCCTTCAATAGCCTTTGTAATAAATCTGTAATCTAGTGAGTAAATGGGTTTCCTGAGTTTTGTGAGTCACGCTAGCAAATTAATCGAGTCCAAGGAGGGGGTTGTGGGAACTTCTGATTTATAACCAGTTGTTCAGAAGTACAGGTAACAACTTAGGCTTATGATTTGCATCCGAGGAGGGGGGCAATCTTGTGGAATGGAGCCGTTAACCTGTGGAATCTGATGCTATCTCCAGGTAGTGTCAGAATTGAGTTGAATTCTAAGATACTCAACTGGTGTCAGAGAACTGCTTGTTGGTGAAAAAATACCCCTCCACACACATTGGAATTCAGTGCAGAACCTAAATAGGCAGCCATAACAAAATAACACAGACTGGGTGGCTTCAACAACAGGAATTTATTTTCCATAGTTTTGGAGACTGGAAGTCCAAGATCAAAGTGCCAGCAAGGTCAATGCAGATGCCTTTCCTTTTTTGTGTGTTCTCACAAGGCCTGTCCTTGGTGTGTGCTCACAAGGCCTTTCCTTGGTGTGTGCTCACAAGGCCTGTCCTTGGTGTGTGCTCACAAGGCCTTTCCT